GTACGCTGGCTTCAGCCCGCCGTGACCCTGATCAGATAGACAGACTAAAGACGCAGAGTAATCCTGACTGGAATATCGTCTGTGGTCTCTGAATGGACCGTCTGTGTATGTGTGACAGCCCCGGTGCATCGTTTACAGGAAGAGCAGCAGCTAAAAGCCTTTACCATCTACAGTAACACTGTGTAGGATGTAGCGCGCCCGAGCAAGTCAGTGTGTTAAGAAAATGACATGAACATTGATGCTATTAACAAATGAGAAGCTGAAAGGTAGAAGGACGCACAGCAGAGGCTGACTCTCATCATCACATTAAGACTGTGACAGTTTAATTCAATTGACTCTTATGGTCAACAACAGTCACCTCAAAACATTTTTATTGTAATGTAAAGACCCTACAAACGACTCCCTATGAACACTGAACTTGGCGACTGAGGGAAAGAAAAACTCCCTTTTAACAGGAAGAAACCTCCAGCTCAGTGAGGGGCGGGGCCATCTGCTGCTAAGGGCTGATGGAGAGGGGAGGACGACATGACAAAAAACTCTCTGTGGAAAAGGAGATTAATAATAATTAAATGCAGAGTGGTGTATAAACAGGTAATGAGTGGGAAAAGGCGACTGAAGAAGAAACACTCAGTACAGCAGCAAAGACTATTGTAGTGCAACTAAGGGAGAATTCACCAACAGTGTGAGAGTGAAGAGCTCTGATAGGGTGATGTGGTGCTACAAGGTCATTAAGATATTCACACTTTCTTCTTTCTGTGTAAGACCAAGCTAACATTCACACTCCCATGGATGCACCAGAGAGTGACTTGGGGTTACTGTCTTGCTCAAGAACATTTGGCAGGCCGACTGGAGATTGTGTTGTACCACCTGATCTACAGCCGACAGAGGTGTGGCTACAGTGGTGAAGAGAAGCCTGGGATTGTTCTTATTTTCTGCGATGAATAGTAAGATGTAGCTTTACAGATGGCGTTTTTATCGAGCAGCAAACTGGCTCTCCAGACTAAATGGTTAAATTAGTAAGACAGCTTACAAGTGATATCACCTCTCAGAGTGTCGGACTTTTTAAACTAAAACGTAAGGAACGACAAACTGAAAGCTTGTTTTGGTTATACCGAGAAAACTCAGATTTAATGGGAACAAAACGTGGCAGCACAAGCCCAGCTAGCTCAGTCGGTACAGCATGAGACTCTTAATCTCAGGATCGTGGGTTTGAGCCCCACGTTGGGCGATGTAGTTCAGCAACAATAATCCCGGTCCCTAAAACCATCATTGTCCTTAATGACCTGTTGTGAAGTGCTTTGAGAAGCTGTGCATAAAGGACTGCCGAGCCCCACCGAGGATGCACGCTTCACCTGATTTCAGCTTAACTTTTAATACCATCTTTCCACACATTCTTATAGCCAAGCTGGTAAACTCAGACTTCCCCCTCCACTACATGCACATGGATCAAAAACTTTCTCACTGACCGAACACAATCAGTCAAGGTTGGCTCACCACAGGGATGTGTGCTGAGTCTTCTCCTATACACCATCTACACCAGTGACTGCACCCCTGCATCATCATCACCAAATGGGACA